AAAACACACGAAAAACATTTGCGCCACTCTGTATACTACTTTTTGGCTAACTCCTTCCCAAAATTCATACAAATGTTATTCAGACAAGTACATAAATCTCACCAACGACTATTTTCCAAATTTTTCCTCGGCTAATCCAAAGGTTTCGATCTCGAGTGGACGTAGTAATCCGTTATTCAATGTCGTGGAAAAACCTCACTTCACGGAGAGAATTCACTCGCTCAATAAAATGGAAAAGAATACGCGACGTATTGGTGAAGTATCTAACCGCGCCAAGTAGTATATTCGAACATTTATACTCTCTGACAAATGTTTCTGCTGAAATTTCTTGTTATTCATGTCATAAATCATTTAATTTGACAATTATTATTTTGTTTGAACTGAAACCTTTTTTATTTTTGAGCAACACGAATTGAGCAACCAGCAATGGATGAAATCACTAGTTATGCAGAATAGCAATGTTTTCGTAGAAGAATGGAAATTCATTGATGAAATTTTGAAGTCTGGTGGTATTACTATTCAAAAAGATTTTTTATCTATCACCACAACACTATTTCACGACTATAAACAATAATTTCCATCTTATGCATCAGTCATTTTATGAAAGTTGGTGGATGAGAAAATGTAAACAGATTAATTTTCCAAGCCATAAATTCCAAGTGACCTGATTTTCAATGCTAACGACTTGTCAAAATCAGTTTTCTCTACAGTTTGTTTACAATGTTCCTCATTTGAAACGTAACATGGAATCTAATAATGTGGCAGATATGAACAAATAATTCAATTCTGAATGAAAAAGTGATCGATTCATTCACAAGTTTGATTTAGAAACAGTGTCAAGAATATCATGTTTAATGGTCAGGTCAGTTTTCTTGGAATCAGTTGAAACCGTATACTAGAAACAAGGCATTCCCAACCAGCGCTGTTTCGACGCAACATATGTATCATCAGTGATGCTAGGATGAACCACGAAAGCATTGATGAATTTGAATATCCTTGAAGGACGAGCCTGTTAGGCTAATACCACCCTTTCGGAATCTTTCTAACAATCATTTTGCATTTTTTCAACAACAAAAGAGTATAACTAAACAGTCATGATTCATTTCTCACCAGGGATAATTGCTGTTAGGACGACTTCCCACCTCCATTCCAATATCAGTGATTTTTCTTGGTTCACCAATGTCTAAACCTTGTTTCTGCCACCATGCACAGTTCACCAAAGATCCTGTTGAAGCGTTGATTACCAAAACTCGAGTAGAGAGCACTGTTTTGTCTGATACGATCAGGTTTTTCGATATTGAATCCTGGAGACCTGAAAAACAAACGTAGTACTCAAAAAACTTGCCACTTTTTCCCTGGTACATAATGGTGTTTTCAGATTCGATATCCGACATTTCGTCTTCCGGCCACCATCATCAACTTTATTTTTTCTTATAGGCGCTACATTGGATTCTTTGTGTTTTGAATAGAACCAGATTTTACCTTTTCAATGATGTATCATGAGTTATCATCATTTTTCGGAAAGTTGGAGATATTGAAAAAAATTATTTGTTTTCATAGTAGGCTTTGACTTTGATGTTTCTAAATTTGACTTTCAATTTGTTACACTCAATGACATTTTGTTACTGTANTGATGATGGCGGCCGGAGGACGAAACGTCGGATATCAAATCTGAAAACACCATTATGTAGCAGAGAAAAAGTGGCAATGTGGAAGTGCATATTGTTAGTCAGGTGAATGCTCAACTTTGCCCCAATTCAAGCATCTCCGTATCTCTCATAGTTTTCGGGATCCCAATGGTGAGGATCGAATTTGAAACGCCCTGTATAATCAGTGCTTTTACAATCACGTTTTCATTGAATATTATATCCCAAATCAACCGTCTGAAATTGTGGGTTATTAAAAAACAATTGGGCACATTTTCCAGCCGCCGCAGTAGAAATATGATTAGGAAAAGTTGGCCTGCCAACTTTTGTCATCGCCCATAAATGCCTAGATAACGTGAGATAAGAGTTATTCAGTGATATCGAGTACCTACCAGTTTATCAAGTATGTTGTCACGGTACATCGTGTCATGATTGAGAATCCGTCGCTCTTATGAAAAATGTATTTATTCTGTGAAGGATAGATTTGAGAACTGCAGCAAAATCAGGAATAAATATAAGAAAGGTAAATGAATTGACTACTTTGATAATAACTTATCCACGACAGAAGAAATGAAACGTAGGTGTATTGATTTTGTTGTACTTGTGGTGGGAAGTTCGTATATTTGAACAATTCCACGTCAGTAAAATGCATTCCATTATATTTTTCCAAATACAGAGTACCTATTTATGAAAATGAAAAAGTCACAATTTCTCCAGGAAGTCTGGTACATAATTCCAAGTAATACCTGTGATGTGGTGTTACCCATACCCAATTCTTCTTGTAAATCAGAAACATAATAAATATAATTTAAAAAACTGAAAAACATGCTTTTGAAAAATATCGAACTGAAAAGTTAAAAACATTTTTTTCAAATAAGCTTGCAACAATAACGAACGAAAAATACTGGCATTATTTGAAAAAAGCGACGGGTGCTTAATATACAAAAAATACAAATACNAGAGTGTTTCATTGAGTTCCACTCATTTTTTCATGAGATCAAAGTATCTGCATTTTTTGAAGACCCTGTATGAGGAAAATGAAAATATGACTCGTAGTGAAGATCCTCATAGTATCACTCTACTCTATTTCATTTTTGAATAGATAATGAAGAGACCTTTCAAACGATATATCACACAAAAATTGGGGGTCGTACCTGTCATTCAAAGGGGGTTGAAGATAGGGGTTGCATTTTTACGTTGAAGAATGTCAAATTATAATATACATTTAACGTGTTTCTGGATTTTTTTAATATGTACAGTAACCGAAATGATGAATTTTTCCATTTGGAATTCATACACTGGATACCACGAAACAGTAGAATAAGTATTTATTGAGATTTGGAACTATGGACAAAATTTTTGAAATATGATGAATCCATATGATACGGACCGGCAATGAATAATTAGGGGATGTCTTTCAGTCATAATTCACTTGCCTGTGAGTGAATTAATCTCAAAAGTGAGGAAATAGAATATCGCAACTAGGAAATAAAAATTCTTTCTTCTCTTCCTCGTATTTTCAACGGCAACACATACGTTTCTATTACTGACATTTCAATACTTGAATATGAACTCAGTTGTTGCCTTCCTTCTTCTCGAATCCATTTCATTCTTTTATATTTTTGGCTACACTTTTTGGGAGTTTAAACCTTTATTTTGATTTACATTCAGAAGCTCTTACGGTTTAAAGATCACTAGCCCTGTGAAAAGCAATCTGATCTAAACCCTTTTCTTCAATTAATTACAAAATTTATTAGTCTTCTTCGGTTATAGACGATGCAGCAAACACTTTTTTCAGATGAAGGAGTAGTGAAATTTGTTTCTTCCGTTTCCTAATTCGATATATCGATTCGCCCAGGAGTTGGGAAAGAAATAGGACTCCATAACCTCAATATTATGTAGGTGTTTCACGCCACTCGCATACTCCTCCTGACAATTATGATTGACAGGCTCTCAACAATGCATTCATAATCCTCTCCAATCGATGCTAGGAACGAGAGAGAGAAAAACGAATCTCGTTCAACCAGACAGATAAAACCATAATATATTTTGAATGAACTCATTACTGGAAGCACTGGATTGAAAAGAGAACTCGAACAATAATTTCTATTCCTGGAAAAGATAATCTCTGCAACCGTGATTTTCATCCAAGAGGAAGGGAATTGGGGCAACACAGGTTTTGAAAGCTTTAACGATACCGAGATTCGGAAGTGTAATTGAGTGGAAAAGTAAAATGCCTTTCCTAATTATTTCCTTCACTATCGGTGTTGTTACTCATTCTAAACTTGTTGAAATGTTAGGATGCCAGTGACGGAATGTCATTATTCTTCATGGTTTCTGGTAGCATTCAAATATGATTAAAAATTGGACTGAAATATTTCAATAATTTCAATTATGAGTAGTGGAATAATAAATATAATTCTGTTCATGAGTGAAATAGGAAACGTGAACCTTTCTAAAAAGGATGTTTAAAAATTGTCATTTCACGAACTACATCGGAAAAGATTTCACTATACATTCCACCAACAAGAAGGGTGGTCCGCCTTGACCGATCATTAGTTCCAGGAGTTCAGCTACTCAAAACTGCTCCAGATTTTTACTTCCAATTATACAAAACTTCATCTTTTATGAAGAGTTCAATGCATTTTGTCGAATTACTAGTCGCAATCAAAGTCATAAAGCAATTGATCAGCTTTGGCGTGGAATGTCCCTGTCAAAGAAGCGACTCAACTCATACAAAGGAAGCAATCCGAAGACGAGGACCTGAAAGATAGAACGGAGTTACCTATAGAAGTAATCATGGAATTACTAGGTTGCTGTGTAGGGAACTGCTATTTCCAACTTAAGAACGAACTTATTACGCAAGATGAAGGACAATCAATTGGATCGCAACTTCCACCAGTTATAGCCAAAATATACAGGGTGTCCCTGGACTTCCTCTTTTCCTCTCGGGAATGTATAGATGGGGTCAAAATATCACCAGTACTTCATATAACTTTTTTTCCTAAAATCCTTCGTTACCAAGTAACGGGCCCTCGAAGTTACAAAATGAAAAATGTTTTTCTTTGATAACTTTTCAAGTGAATATTCAAAATCATCCAAATTTTGG